AAAAGAGAGACCCAGGATGACTCTATAAACATGAGTTGAGTTAGGGTCATTCCTTACCAACCTGTGACTTATTTGACCCAATTCTTATTAATTTGTGCCCTGCCACGACCTAACCCGTATGTAAGCCCAACCAACATGTTTACTTCATCTATGTTAAGGTGAGTTTGTAACACATTTTACAGAAAAGCATCTGTTTCTAAAACATTGTTTCATATGATGCCCATTTTATCATATAATCAAGTAATCAACATTCTTCCAATCATCCCGGTCTACCGCTTGAAAGAAAAAGATCATAAAAAAATTCATCTTTCTTGCATTGAATAAAGCAAGTTACATGGTTGTGCTATTCTGCTATGCAGCAATCAAAAAGAAGATTTTTAAGGAAACAAATTAAAGTAGGAATTTATTTATATATAAATTTTATATACAATATTTATTTAAAATTTTAACTATTATCTATCCATTTTTAATAGTTGATATTTATTTACATTTATTAAAAATAATTTTTTCATTAAAAAAATTATGGTAAATCTTAATTATTAAAAGTAAATAATATAAATAATTCAAATTGTGTAAAAATAATTTATAATACTTGTATGCAAGTGAATTCCTTCTCAACAAATTATGACTAGAATAAATAAATAATATTAACAACAACAAAGATAAAAATTTTATTTAGACATAAACTAGACAAATCACATTCACACTCACAAAAAAATAACTGTCATAAAATCCCCTTTTTTTTTTTTTTTTTTTTTTATTACTTGAACCCTATTGCTTTCTCTCAACTTCAATTTTTCACCTGCCACCAAAATTCCTTCTTATATAATCTTTTGTAAGGACAATATAAATAAATATACAAATTATCCATAAACTCTTATGGAAAAAAGAAAAGAAAAGAAAAAAAAGACCCATCAGTTATTAGGAGACGGAGGTAGTGGTTCGTCGACGTTACATATACACGAAATAATCTGCATTTAATTACAATTCCAATTTTTCCAACTCAGGCAGAAATCACAAGAAATGATTACTAGAGGATGTTATTTTACACACACATCGTCAATCAAACCTTATACCACCGAAAAAGGTAATTTTCTATCACAAATGAAAACCTTCTCTCTTTTTTGCTTGTTTTTTAACAACTGAATTGTTTTGGTATCGCAGCGATATCTCTGAACCTAACGCAAGATATGGCAATGGGCGAGCATTATTCACAATAATAGTATACTACATGCAATGTGCATTTCCTGTTAAATAGAAACCAAGCACAATCGATGGTCTCCAGCTGAGTGAACGACCATGCTTGGGGCTTGAAATCAGAAATTGAGTCAGAAAATCAGCAACAACTGCTTGTAGATGCATCAGCCTGGGGTGGTTTCTGTTTGAAGATGTTCTTTTTGATACCTTTGGATCCCTCAGCTAAAAGGCTAGGGGTATCCAAAATCTGCATATGAAAGCAACATCATTTTCAAGATTTATTAAGTCAATAAAAGGGGTTGCTCAGGAAACGCCTACCAATCCCAACATCACAAAACAATTTGGCAACCGGCATACATAGTTTATTTCACATACCAAGTAATCAATAAAATAGCAGCAAAGATCAGTGTCTCCAATACCTTTAGAACCAGCTCTTCAAAGCACTGTTGAACATTAGCACGTGTTTTAGCACTGCATTCAATGAAAAGACACCCATATTCCCTCGCAAAGTTTATTCCTTCTTTCTTTGTCACAACTCTCTCACTTTCCTGAAAAAAGATTTATGATCCAGATTGCAAGAAACTTTGAAGTGCAGACCAAAAAAAAAAATAAACAATAAACTACAATACATTACATGAAAACAGTCCTGAAACACATACATATTAGATATTAGATGCAAAAGTGCTAGCAACATTCTGCAAGACAAACAAGTAATTTGCCTTGATATGCCAGGACATCCAAATAACAAGCAACATAGAAAAACCATGGGATAGGGGAATAAACAACAGACACCTGATAATAGATGAAAAAGTGCCTTCAACAATACACCCAAGTAATTTGCTCCAATGTGTGCGCCTAAAAGACTAGATACAGGAAAGCCCAACAGATGGAAAATAGGAAACAGAATATTATCACACAACTTAAGGAAAGCCTAAGACTTCAAAATATTAATTCTTTGGTTTTATTCAGGCCATATAAAGTGGAATGATGTCAACTACAGAACACCTGTTAAATCTTTTATTATGGAAAATATCAGTAGTATCAGAAGACTCACTCCCCACCTCCCTCCACAGATGGGGTGTCGCCACGTGATATTTAGTGCACCACTGAATACGTCAAGCCAAGCTGAACTTTTACTATTCTAAACTCAAATGGAGTGATATTTTTTTTTTTTTTTTTTTTGGGCTAAAGCTTGAGCTCAATCTTGATTGCTTTATTTTGAAGCTCAAACTCGCTTAATCAAACTTAATATTTGAGTTTGACTGCAAGTTTGATAACCAGACCTCCTAAACTATTGAAGTAATATAATTGATGCAGGTTAGGACATGCAAGAATATAACGGGGAACATAAAGGAAATGCAAGTTAGGATGTGCAGGAATATAAGAAGGAACGTAAAGAACATGAAGGTTAGGACATTACATGCAGAAATGTAGGGTACTCTGGAGTTTTCTCTATGCAATTCATAAAAAAAAATAAAAAATAAAAAATACTAAATGATTACAAACTTCAAGAAGTAATATATAGATAACATAATTCAATTACACTTCTATTAATACTCCCTTAGTCCCAAAATAACTGTCGTCAATGTTGTAAAAAGCGGGCCTAGGCGGTGCCATTCCACCCACATCAGCCTCTAGGCAAAAATTCAATACAATTTGCACTACCCAAATCAATTAAGCACGCCCAAGAACTACTAGGCACACCTAATGCCACCTAAAGCACCTGAGCAAATTTTTTTAATTAATTTTTTAGCCTAATGAAATGATGTCATTTAATTTATTATAAAAATTATATTACAAAAACATTAAATGCCAAGTAATTCCCCTAAAATCTGCTCTTTAGACATGATAATGAATAGAAAAAAGTTTAATTTTTCTATTTATTTTATAATTTTTAAATATTTTTTACATTTTTTCTTATTTTCTTAGAATTATATCAAAAAATTATTATTAAAAAAAAAACCCACCTAGGTAGCCTAGGCACTGCCTATGCACTCTAGGCTCTAGGCCGTGGGCAACCACCCACCATCGCCTAGTGCTTTCTGCAACCTTGATTGTCATTATTTGACTTTGAGTTTGTCCCAAATTAGTTATCATTTTTTCATTTTTTAGGGTAGACATTTTTTCCTACTATAATCCTATTATTATTTATTTATTTTGATTAATTATCCCATCACAAAAAAATCTTACTGTATCTTCTTTAACTTTTTCCTAAGGGTAATATAGATAAATAAATGAATTGTCTCCAAATCCTTAATTTTGAGAAAAAGTCAAAAAAGATAGTTATTTTGAGATGGAGAGGGAGTAATAAGAAATATACTATCAATATATAAGTGAGTTTGTTTGTGAGTTTTGGAGCCAGACCTCTTCAACCTTGAGCTTGATTTCAATTGAATTCAAGCTAAACCTAAACAAAGTTAAGGCTGAGCAGCTCATTAGAGTCTTGGTTCTTTTACAACTCAACACTAGAGAAGCCATTAACACCAATAAGAAATTTCCTTGTTCTGCCACACTACAGTCTGCAGGGGAAGGCAGAAATTAACAGTCAACAGACATTTAAATTTATCTATTATGCCTATTTCCTTGTCACCTAAAAATGGTATTGGCCATATCATAAAACAGTTTTATCGTAAATGGTACCTTAATTGAATTTTAGTACAAAACAAAATATGAGTATATATATCAATTAAAATGCATAAAATACATAGAAAATCCACATTATTTACTACTACCTAACTTTGCAAAAAAAATAGACTTGATCTTCCATTGTCATAGAAAAACTTGAAGAAATTACTATCAATGACTAGCCATGAAGCACAAACACCTTATTCTTCTCATTGAGTGTTCGTGTCCGACACACAAACACACTCTGGACATGCATATTTTGACTATCTAATTATTTATTTTTATTTTTACCTTATTTTTATTCTGGACATGCTCAAGACACGCTTGAGAGACATTAAGCACATGATTCAAATCCTTCTAATGTCAGTTAGGTGCAAACAACGCCAATGGATCATGCACACTAGTATCACCTGGTACGGTAAGGGAGACAATGGAGCCTTTTTTTATTATTTATTTATTTATTTATTTTGAAGAACAGAAAATGATGATCAGGCTTTCAAAGGCAAATAGCCTTTCAGATTTTTATTTCCTTATTAATGAGATTTTATAGGTAAAAGTTGGAAAATACCCACCCATTTTGCCTATTCTTTTAAAAAAGTGTCATGTCATCCACAAAAATTGATAAATTTTTTAATTTAACTTGTCAATGTGTCCCAGACATGTCCCCTGCATACTCAAAATTAAAAAAATAATTAAAAAATCAGATACTCAAAAAAAGTGTGTCTGACACAGACACTCTGATGAGAATAGTATTCATGCTTCATAGATAATAACAATAACAGTAACAATAACAATAACCCACTTCATTTTCAGCATATGTTTGACTAGGGAGCTGTTTGGTGGATTATAAAAGCAAACTTGCTTTTAAGCAAATTCTCTTACAAATTTGAAAATTTATCAAATGGAGATTTCAAAAATTGGCTTTTAAAGTGACTTATAAGTAGTAGAGACAATAAATATAGAAGTTGTTTGGCAAAGCTGGTCCAAGAGTTGCCATTTAAAAAAATTTTCAAAATCTTTGTTTCTTTTGTTTGAAAACTTGATTTTTTGGGAAGAAGTTGCTTATAAGCAAGTTTTGCAAAATGCAACAATTCCTTGTTTCCTCCAAATCTTGTTTTTTAGCACTTTTTTTGCGAAAAAGCAAACATTCCTCCAAAATATTTCAAACTCTACAGAGACATTTTGAAATTTTTGCTTATAAGTCTCAAAAATAGCTACAACAAACAGCCTCATACCTTTATGTGTAAAGCATTTTATCCAACAAGGTAAGTAATAAGCACATAGTGGTAGTAGTAGCTTAATCCTAACCTTCTTTTCCCATTGTTTCCACTTCATTTTAAGCATGTTTGACTAAGGATACCCTTATGTATAAAGCACCAAATGCTTATAAGAACATTCTATCCAACGAGGTAAGTAATAAGCAGAGTGCTTATGAGCACTAAAATCTTCTTGTTAGCACTAAGCACAATTTTAAGCTCAAACACCCTCGTAATTGCCTGTCCCACTCCCAACAAGAAAGCAAGCCAAAAAGAAACAAAGGCCTGAACAACAATACATTTGGGTAATGGTTAATTTAGTACCTAGAGCATCATTATGTAGATAGCCAGAGGGGACAAAATAGAAGAAATGTATGAGAACTTAAATCTGCCAGATCTCTACAAAGTTACCTTGTCAACTTTATTTCCAACTAGCATCTTGATGCAGTCTTGATTTGTTGAATATAAGTCAATTTCCTTGATCCAAACTTCAGAAAGATTTGTAAATGTTTCTCGCCGCGTTACATCATAAACTGCCATATTGCAAAAAGCAAATGATCACTTCACAAACGGACATCAGCTAGAAACAACTATGTCACAAAAATGCTCTCACTAAATAACAGAACAGAAGGCTTCATTTGTTCAATTGGGACATCTTTTTATGGTCCTTGATGAGTTGAGACATAAAGAATATATCATCTTTAATCACGAGGATGTTATCCACTGACGCTGGTTGAATATGCCACTGCAGCGCATTCTAAAATGATACTAAAGAGGACTTGACCTTGTAGCTCAATCCATAAGGTGGATGTCCCTTCATCCCTAAAGAGAGAGATCCAAATTCCCCCGAACCCAATATTAAAAAATAAATCAATAAATAACATGAGAGGTGGATGTCCCTCCATCCTTAAAGAGATAGTTCCGAATCCCTCTTCCTCCAATATTAAAAATAAATAAATAACAAATAGATTGAGATTAAAGGAGAGAAGAGACCAACTACTGAAATCAGGTAAGCATTATTAGAGTTGTAATGCTAGTGGCTAGATAAAACTTCAAATTGTTCAGTGCTTGGGGTTTGTTTCTATCCACCCATGGAACAAAATACACGCCAAGACATTACAACTCATGGACCTATAACTAGCAATAAAATGAAAGAGTGCATGTTTAACTGTGTCGTGTTTGCAATGAAAATGAGGTATCAAACAACAACTTTCTGAATATAAAAAGAGAGCAAAGGATGGCAGGAATCATGGAGAAACAGGAAGAGGCAAATACAGTAATGAAAATAAAGGTCAAAGATTACCCATAATGATCCCCTGTGCACCTCTGTAGTATGAACTTGTCAATGTTCTGAATCTTTCCTGACCAGCTGCATGATCAAGACATTAAAAGGTAATAAGATGAGTTCTACAAATCGCTAAAAAAACACAAATCTTATCCTGTCAAACTAGCAAGATCACACCAGAGATTAATTAACATCATAATAGCCTTAATATTGATTTAGTTCTAGTGATAATCATTAAGGCCAAAGAGGCAAAGACTGTAACCTTAGATTAGAAGCAGTTGTGGGTAATGACACTAAAGCAACAAACTAAAATTATGTAACTATAAGTAATGACACTAGCTGTAATTATATGACTCATGAAGTGATTAGATTTCATTTTGTTTTTTTACTTCCTTTGTCCCAAAATAACTGTCTTTTTTTTACTAATTTGTCCTAAATTAATTGTCATTTTTATTTTTCAAGGGAGAACAATATTTTTTCTCACTCTAACCCTATTCTTATCCCCTAATTTTAATTATCCACCCTATCACTAAAAGTTTCTCTTTATCTTATCTCTTTCTTTAAGCTTACTATAGGAAAACCGATAAATTGTTTCTAAATTCTTAATCTTTAGAAAAACTGAAATAAATGACAGTTATATTGGTATGGAGGGAGTATAAATAATGACACTATAGCGATAATCTCAAAGCAGGCATAGATAGTTTATCTGGACAAAGAGATGATATCATAATTACAGATGGTGACTGTATTGGAAAGCCAAAAGACCTACATACTGGAAAGTGTATTAATTTGATTGATGATGTGTCTTTGTAACATGAACCTTAATGGAACAAAACCATAACTACGTTATTAAACTCAGGATCTAAGTAAACTTAATAAAATTATAGGAGCAAGTTAACAAGGGAAACAAAAGTAAAACTCAGTTCAACCAACCTTACAGTGCATGATCTCATCCATACATCAATGTGGTTTTTATTAGAACTTAATTAGTACAATAAAAATGCAAATCGATAAACGAGAATTTATGTAGCAAACAGATTGGATTCATCAAACTCAGGCCAAGGTGTTGGACACCCATTCATGTCCATAAGGGTGAACATGACATTTCTTTAATATTATACCATTATCCATTTTAGGTGGTTGATATGTGTCAACACAGGAATCTAAAATAAATCTAAAATGAAACATTATGGAAAAGCAAATAACGGTAACAAATTTTATTTACCTGTATCCCAAATTGCAAGCTTCAGCTTCTTACCACCAAGATTGACATATTTCACCTTAAAATCAACACCTGTACAACAAAGTACGCAGAGATTCAAATTAGGATATCAGGGAAAAGCAGGTTTGATGGACATAAAGTAAGCTCCTTCATTTCCTTAAGCAGTTAAGGTCCAGGTACCCATGATAAAAATTGCAAAAATGTTTTCTTTTAACCAACCATAAGTTTTACAAACAATAACATTTGCCTGTCCCTCTTCCATACTTATAATAAAAAGATTTGATACCATAATCCATAGGAGATTATCTGATTCTAGGTATTGTTGAAAATGCACAAGACACCAAATAATTGAAAAACTAATTGCAATTAAATTAATTATGAATAGACTGACCAATGGTGGGTGAGAGATCTTCGAAGGTGTCAGAAGTGAAACTCAAAAGAAGACTGCTCTTTCCAACGCCGGAATCCCCGATCATCAGCAACTTGAACAAGTAATCGAACTCTGTTTGACTTGAAGCTGGATCCATGTATTCTATTCCACCCGTCGAAAGAAAATTAACCAAAAAAAAAAAAAAATTGCGATTTCTAGAGCGAACCCAGATCAAAAACCTAGGACAAAATGAAAATGGCATCAACACCACATATAAATCACCTGCCTAGAATTCAGAAGGATATAACTGAAAGAAAATCAGACAGAATAAGATTCGAATTTCAACGTCGCAAGAGATTAGATTATTGCTAAGAATATCAGAAGCATTCAAACCAGAAGAACAAATTAGATTCTGATTTTCATAAAAATTCAAGAAAAACTACGATCAATTAAACAATTATACATTAAAAGAATTATATGCAGACATTGATAGATCGAGAGATTTTTTTTTCTTTGCTAAAATAGATCGACGGATTGTAATTGCAATTACCTGTGATGAAGTTAGGAAATTGTTGAGGGAGAGGATATAAAAAGGTTTCCTGGAAAAAGAAAAGGAACAGTTTCAAAACTAACATGTAGGAGGAAGATTTACTGAGGGAGAGACCGCGCCCTTCCCGTGGTGTCTTTATTTTTATTTTTTAGGTCTGTTGTTTTTCTTTTAACAAATATTTCGATATAAAAAATAAATGGTGTGAATAGAAAAAAAAAAATTGATCAACTAAAATTATTGAACGAGAGTTTTACATGAGGAATTTTTTTCCTTTTTTAGGGATGTGAATATTAAGATGCGAAATATTAAAATTTTTTATGAAGTTATTTAAATAATTTTAATAAATTAATATAAAAAAGTTTATAAATTTATTAAAAATATTTAAATAATTTTATAAAAAATTCTGATTGTTTAAATGTCAATTTCATAAAAAACTTTAATATTTTAATGTCAAAATATACTAATTTTTATTTTTTATAAAAAAATAAATAATTTAAACAAAAGTATAATCAAAACTTGAGTATATTTATTAAATATATACATGCTTGTTATATATATTTTTTTTGTATTCTATTTTTTTAAAAACAAATTTTATTAATATAACTAGTAATAATAAAATACAAAACTAATAATAGGGAAAAATAAAACATGACATAATGGTTACTAATTTCACCTAGTATTCATTAGCATTTCTAAATATATATTAATTTCGTTCCAGAATAATGTAGTTCATGAGAAATCTCGATAACTCCACACTACTAGTTTTTTTCTTTTTCGAATAACTACAAATTTAAGAAAGGAGATTTAAATTCAGTGCCTAAAGTTACAGGTGGACATTTTACAAAGGTTTATAGCAAATTGGCATTTTAGGTTAAGTGCGAAAACTCTACACTACCATAAACTCAAATATATGAGGAAAATATTAAAAGAAGATCACCCTTATTCCAGCAATTTTATGAAGGGAAACATAATCTTCTATAATAATATATTACATTTTCTCTCCCCTTTACTAATACTAGTTGCCATAAAAGCTAATTGAAACCAATTTGTACTCAACTTCAACAACTCTTGATTTTTCGGAAACATATCAATCTAAAGAATTTCAAAAATTCAATCAATCTATGACAGCTCTAAACAAATATCAGATCAACAAAGCACAAAAGAAATGTTGCATGTATAAGTCAATACTTGTTAATTTTTAATGATATGTTTTATAAAACTGTGAGGTGAATAATATCTATAATGGATTAGGTTATTATATATGGTATTAAAGTCAATCCATGTGACCTCTTGAATGGTGGTGGGACAAATCTCAACAAAGATACTAAGTCTTGAAGAGGAAGTGCATATGACACCTCTAGGTAGATCTCATGTCAACAAAGCACAAGAGAGATACTAGGTGTATAAGTCAACACTCACTAACCTATATTGATGCGTTTTAAAATTATAAAGCCTAATTGATTGAAGCAGACAGAATCAGTAGTGGGCTAGTTCGTTACACAATCAAATCTCAAAAAATCCAAGCAAGCCAATACACCTACAAGCACCCAAATTTCATCATTGCCAATAAGATCAAAGCAATTGTCAGCTACCACTCTACCTCCAAGCCAATTAACAACACATCTAGCCTTTGAACCCACACCGACATCATATCAATAGCTACAATATTAAGGCGGTTGCTCATAAGAAAACATCTCACTACCTCCTAATCTAAGCTCATGAGGCTTCCATTCATTGGCACCCAGTCACCCAACATCAAATCGTAGAACAACAAGGCCGATGGCTGCAATCGAGATCTTGTCACTAGTTTTCCTTTCTCACTAGCCACCCTAATCTGCTTCCAAGCCTTTACAAAGGGATAAGATTGGCCACCTCCAACCAAGATACTAACATGAGAAACCAAGAACAATTGCAAAGAAAACATATCAAAATGAGTTAAAACTACCATTACTAAAGGTAGTCAACGAACACTCATATTGAGAGAAAATCCTAGTCATTGCTAAAATTCTTTTATAAAAAGAGTTTTACTTAATTATTCTTCCTCTTTTTTCTAGAAATATATGCTTAAGGGCATGTGAGGCGTCCCTAGCTCCTATGCCTCACATGTTGTGTTTATGCACTATGTTTATGTACTGATGTTTTACTTTTAGGTGAAAATGGGTAAATTTACCTTTATATTTTTAGTGATGATTAAAAGAAATTCCTATAATTTTTTTCATAAATAAATCTTCACTTATATTTTTAAATTGAATGAAATTAGTCTTTTTACATTTCAATTAAAAAAACTAGTTAAAATTTAATAAATGATATAATTATAAGTCATTATTTTGTTGTTTTCTTTCAATATATGTTAACACTAATTATGACACTTGCAATAGCAAGGTCTTGTGTGAGGATGTTTGATATGCATAATACTCTATTGTTATGCAAACACTAAGTGTTGATTTTTGAAAACTATTTCTTTGCTAGGCACTACAAAATTACAAGAAAAATAATAATTTTCCAACCATCATTCATAAATTACAACAAAAATAAAAATTTTTAAACAAGTCTTCATTGCAATTTAAAAAAATTAAAAACAAAAAACAAAAAAGAGAATTGTAATTGCACCAAACCAAAGATCCTTCTTCAGTTTGCATCTTCACTCTAGATGAACTTGCAAAGCCCCGAGGTGGGTCCTCAGGGTAGACACTTCGATGCTTAAGTCAGCAATAATCAAATCTACCTCTAAAATAATGAAAAAGGAGTTTTAAGTTGGTTTCAATTACCTTTCTGAGGTGGCCCATGGGGGGTATTTATAGGCCTCAGTGAGGTGTCCACGTGGCTTGCTTAACAAGATAATTGAAGTGTGACGTGTCCCTTCAGGCGATAATTTCAGGATCGGGAAATTTTGTGTGACAAATCAGGTGTGAGCATGTCCACTGTATTTATCATGCAGCCATTTGACTGGAAAGTGTTGGATTTAACTTCACTTTGACTATTAAGGAATTGTAGCAGTATGTCCAAGATTCAGGACCTTCAGACCTATTCTTACAAGAATAAAAGCCTTTGATATATAAAAGAATAAAAGCATGACTCTCGCATCAATATATATTTTGACTAATTCTCTTTTTTTAGTCATTTAATTTATTTTCTCTAATATCCTACTCTTCCTCTTTTGTTTTGGTGCAATGTTTGTTATGAGTTCGACTTTCATAATTATGAGGGAATTGGAATTGTTGGTTATTCATTAATTTTCCTCTAGTAGGTGAACTTTAATTGCCAAATTTATCACTTTGGATTTGAATTTAGCTCCCTTTGATACACTTTTACAATGTCAACTTTTACCCATTTAAGAATGCTTATGAATTTGGTTCTGATTATATTTTTTAAAATAAAAATATAGCTACAAAGAATATAGGAAAATTATTAGGTATTAATCGGGTCAAGAAGAGTAAATTAGATTACATTGTTGCTAGTCACACTAGATATAGAAGTTCTCTTTGAATTTGTTGGAGGAGATAGCTTGTGTGTGTTGGTTTATTTAGAAAAATGGGAATGCTAGGTTATTTCAAAGTGGTTTGATAACCCTATAAATGTAACACCCCATGTTCTTTAGTAAATAGATTAGAAATTAGAGTCCTTTATATTAAAGCTTTCAGGATTAAATTGATTAGATTTAGAATATGTGAACCTTATGTGAAATCTTTAGATAATTAGAGACCATTTAACTATTTTACCCAAATTTGGAGACATGTGGCAATATGATAACCAATTCACCCGAGCTTCTTCTGGAAGATTTTAGAAAAGAAAACCCCCCTTTTTGCCTTAAGCCTCCCAAACCCAAACCATTCCTTTGCATCTTTCCTTTCCAAAACAGCCGATCCCCTACACTTTGCTGTCCTTTTCTAGCCAAATGCGATGTCTAGGGACACACTTTCTAGTTGAACTCCCTTTTAATTTTTATTGTTCTCTTCAATTTGGTGCTTTGATTTTCAACTAAGTATGAGTATTAGATACAAATTTGGGTTAGAGTTTTGGGTAGGTTATAGATTTACCATAATATACTAGAAATTAGTCTAAATTAGTGAGATTTGACTTTAAACCCTTAGTTTAAAAGACCTTTTGGGCATTACAAATTTTGTTAGAGACATACCATATGTTGGGGCTTGTATGAAAATGAATCCATGATGTGTTTATTATTCATACATGAGTTTATTGTAAATTTTATTAATAAATATTACTGTGGACTTCATGTACTTGCTTTGTGTGGTGATTTTCTTACAAACCAATACGACAAAATAATTCCATATGTTTATTTGAAATTTAGAGTGTTGTCCATGACTTTGGATGGGATATTTAAAGTGGATTGTTTTAGAAATGGAATTGATTTTGTGAAACATAAATGAAATAATATTCTTATATTATTTTGAAAGTGTTTTGAATTTATTGGACATTTATATTTGTTTGTGGCTATGAAGTAAGTGGACATAAGCTTAAAGCTTGGGGTATTTAGTGGACCCTTCGAGGTATTTAGTGGATCTTTGTGCAGTAGGGTGAGTGTCATGATTAGCTCCGGTACAAGTGTTGCTAGCACACATCAGTAGACTCTATAGCATTGTGTGATTTTTGTTTTATGCATTATACTTGTGACATCACATCTATGAGCATGGTTTTATGATATGGATTTGATTCAAATGTCAGTGGATATTCCTTTACGTGTTTAATTGTTTCTGAACAACTTTGTGACATTAAATTATGATTTAAATACTAATATTTATAATATTATGTGGCTTAGTTTAATTGTCTATTATACTCTTCCTGGTGTAGGTCTAAAGGTCTTAGAACCCAAGTTTGTAACTTAAACTTAATACTTGCTAGACTTTTAGCTCATGATATCCCCCCATTTTAGATTTGTGGATTGGAGTATCAGTCACCAACTTGAGAGCTTCAGTACAGGTCCCGTGTGCTCCTTGTATGTAGAAGTTAGGACCTCTGGGCTTTTGATATCTCCATCGGAACAATAGGGCCGTTATGCTCATTACTAAACTTGTTGAAGAGATGAAATATAACCAAGGTATATCTTTTTGATCAGAGGTTGAATCGATCATCAGAAGAAGAATTAGGCCAAAAAGTAGGATACATTCTGGGAAAATCAAACTTCCATCGAAGAGAAGCAAATGAAAGGCTTTCATAAAAATTCTCGTAGAATCGAGAAGGCAAATTAATGTGTTACCAAAATGATGATTTTGCTTTTATTATTTTGAAAAGCTTTGAAAAAGCATTTGCTCATGCATTTTTTGTGTAAATTGCTTTTATGTATTTAATTTATAAATCAATGAAAAATAGACTTAGCCTAGTTTAGTTTATGACTTTAAGTATTTTGATATTTTCCATTAAATTAGTTTTCCTTTACGAGTAATTGATTTTCTTTCTATAAAGTCTTAAATTGATTTGAAAGCAAGTTTTCTCATAAGGAAATATTTTATATTAGAAGAGTTTTTATTTCCGCTGCAATATTTTTTTATAAATATTTGTTCTTGTTTTTTTATCTTATGCAGTACATTCCCCTACTTGATAAATCAAAAGGTTTATTAAAAAAGGAGATCTTACAATAAAGGTTCTCAATAGAGATATTCTAGTAAAACATAATGGAATAAAAGTGAAATAAATACAATTTATCTTCTGTCTTTATCACTTGACATTAATGGTTATTGGTGTTTCAGTTGGAGGAGTTTATCTTTGTTCTAAATAGGTGTATTCTATGTACATCTTTAAAATTCTTATATTCATTGAAAATAAAATAATAGGACTATTTTAATTGTCTTGCTAATGACAACAAAAAAATTTTGATATGATGAAATTGTGCTTTCCTTTTTTTTTTCCTAATTTTGAATGCTAATAACATTTAGGTTATATTATTGTTTGTTGCTCCTCATTCATTTGTCATGGTATGATGGGACATATTTTTCCAAATTAAGCTTTACTTGTTAGATTCTAGAATTAACCCTTCTGATTTATTAATTACGAATAAGAGTTGGATTAACAAGCCATTATCGTAAAAGGGTGATGGATTTCATTGAATTTGTGTTTAACAATGCACCTTATGGAGACATCAGATGTTGCCCATGTATTGATTGTCTTAATTCTCATTTAAGGACAAGAGGAGTTGTCGAGCATCACTCGACTCGTCGTGGTTTCTAAAAAGGGTATACCAAGTGAATTTTCCATAGGGAATCCATTTCATCATCTATGGCTCTTAATGTAGATGTCATGCAACAAGTTATTCCATCAAATGAACAAGATGATAATATCAAAATGACCATGATGACATGCATCCAATGTTAAAAGATGCTTTTGGAGTTTGAAGTACATCAACCATTGAATAGTCTAGTGTTCACCATGAAAGATGAGTAGATGTGGATTATGATTGTCACGCCTCAGAACCCAAATCCAAGGACGTGGCAGACGCTGTGCACTCGTAAACGGGTCTCGCGAATGCACAAGGCTCGAAATTTTATCATACCACAATTTGATACCACAAAATCTGAAGATAAAATTATAAAATTTTCTCTAATATCATAAACTCTCCAAATAAAGTTTAGTTACAAAATCATGATTTATATTTAAAATCTATATTCAATTTACAAGATGGCTAGCCTTCTAACTCGTCACGTTCCTTGTTTTTCCCCGTCCTTGACTTCACTTCCTGAAATGGTGGACAAGGAAAAACTATGAGATAACTCAATAAGTAAATATGGATAGCCCTTAATTAAACTTATAGCATGCCAACCAGTATAATCACGAAAAACAAGTACGAGTACGAAAACGAAATAGACGTCTCCTCTATAGGTCATGGCCAGTGTTATAAACCTCCCACTGGCAGGCACACGATTTATTAGTGTATAATCCCACTAGCAGGATTTCAGAATAACAAAAACGAAACGGTTCTATCAATAACATGTCGACATGTGCTAGCGTTTATAAACCTCCCACTAGCGGGCACACGAATAACATGACCATATCGGAGACAAAACAGGCAGCAGGTAACAGAAAATCATACTTTATAGATAATTTCCAGATCATCAGGGTAGTTAAATAATTTCCAAGCAGGCATGCTCAAATCAATAAAAAGAATAATAATTTCATTTCAAATCGGTCATACTTGTGTAAAACGGGTTTAGTCCTACCACCACTTCAAAAACAAGCTAAAATGTGCTTCAAAATCGGAAGGCGTTATCATAATTTACTTACCTTAAATCCGTAATACCGAAACTCAATCCCAGTGCCCTAAGCCATAGCAGCACCTAATATTCCAAATAAATACATTCAGATTTTGCTAGAATTATTAGCACAACCTTGCAAATTTCCTAACCAATGAGCTTCACACGAAATTCAACCATATGACCAAACATCTCAATTTTATTCTCAATATAACTACACATTTAAACCCTCCTATTGTTGGTCATTAGTGCGTGAACAGTACCCGTGAACACTAATCACGCAATGAACAGTAACTGCAACTTCCAAAAATTGGCAAAACCATAGCTAATCTCACGGGATTTTTCTCCAAAATCTCACAGCAGTCAATTAACACTCAATCACATAAATTCCACTTGAATTAATACTTAAATTTTGTCCTAAAGCTACCGGAATTATCCCTTTTTTTGCAGAATTTCGGATATCACAAAGGCAACAAATTAAATGGATAATTTTAGGCTTAAAGGGCTGTCACATACCAGAATTTCCAGCAAGCAAAACTGGAGCTGCAAGCTAGGGGAAGCCGATGGTAATTCTGCAGGGGACTCACGGAATTAACCCAAAATTGAAGGAACAAGAGGAACTTAGAGTAACCCAAGCCAATTTAAGGAAAAACAGAGAATTTAATGGCTGTTTCTTACCAGAATTTTGAAGAACTCACACCCAAACAATGAAGAGCAGCCGACGGAAAAGAACAGAGCAGAGCAAATTCGAATTTCTGCAGGGGGATTTCCGAGCTTAAATCTTGTTCTTGAATAAGAAAAGGAGGATAAAATCAAGCTTCTTACCAGTTTCTCAAAGGGAGGTGCGTCGGTGGTTGGGCTTCCTTGCTCGATGTAAGGGGAAAAAAAGAAGAGTAGAAACGCGAAATGGTTGAGGAAGAAAGAAGGAAACAAAATAGCTGATCCTTATCCAAATCTTTTTCTCTTTTAAGTCCCTCAAGTTTGGATATTTTAGCTAATAAGCACCAAAATAATATTTTTCCCAAAATGAATCCCTAACTTAAATGATAAAATTCTCAAAAATTTGGGATATTACAATGATGAAAGTGGTGTAGCAAAAACATGGTAACCAACCTAATGGTGCAGTAGCTAAGTTTTACAAGTTAGTGGAAGATGCAAGTAAAGGGCTATATCTTAGATGCAATAACTTATCCTAGTTTTCTTTTACTATTCATCTTTTTCATTTTAAATGCTCAAGAAAATGGTTTGCTAAATAATTAACAAGATTGCTTGAGTTATTAAATAAGGTATTTCTAGAAATCGACCTTCCTAATTCGGCTACAAAAGTTAAATACTTTCTTAAGCCTTTAGATTAAGTTATGATAAAATTGTTACAAGTCTTAACGATTGTATGTTTTATTAGAAAGACAAGGGGAATTAATAAGAATGTCATATCTATGAGATTTCTAAATAAGCTTCTATTTCAAATGATGGAAAGAAGAAGCTTACAAAAAAGTTTAAGTTATTTTTCTCTCATACCTAGATTCCAATGTCTGGACATGTTCTCCAAAACCTCCTCCTTAATGAGATGGCATCATGAAGGCCGTCAAGAGGATGGATTGATTAGACATCTTGCAAACTCTTTAGCATGGAAATCATTTGATAATAGACATGAAGATTTCTCTAGAGACTCGTGTAATGTAAGGTTTGGTTTAACAAGTGATAAATTCATTCCATTTAGGACGATGAGCTCTACTTATAACATCTAGCCTATTATCTTGATCCCTTATAATTTTATCATCACAAATGTGCATGAAACATTCTTCCTTCATACTTTCCATGATAATTCCAAGCCCAAAGGGTCCAAGCAACGACAGTGATGCTTACTTACAATTGTTGATTGCTAAATTAAAGAAATAATGGGTTGGAGTTAAAATTGTTAATGCAACAACTTAGAATACCTTCAATATGCATGCAACATTAGTTTGGACCATTAGTGATTCTCTAGCAATGGCAATGTTGTCTAGTCGAACTAGGAAGGATTGTTACGCATGTCCTCACTATGGCATGAGCAAATGCTCAAGATAACCATATAATAGTAAGAAATTCTATTACTTGAGACATTGTAGATGGTTGGATGATGGTCATATATTTATAAAACATCTACATAATTTCAAAAATACAAAACTAAGACATACTTCTATCCCTTTGTTTGGTTCTAATATATTAAACCAGCTTGAAGGACCTAACTTTTCTGGGAAAATGTATAAGAAAGGATCTACTTCAAATAGGAAGAGGAAGGAACAAATTATGAGCTCATATGTTCAAAGTGAAGACAATGATGATCTCGACAAGTGTTCTATGTGGAAGAAAAAGAGCATTTTCCCAACCACCTTATTAGTAGTTTAACACAATTCGTAACATAATAAATGTCATGAATACTAAGAGAAATATTAGTGAAAAATGCATTGCTACAATGCCTGAAGAGAAAGGGAAGTCCAATAATGTCAAAGCACTTCTTGACTTGAAAGAAATATGTATAAGAAATGCCTTATGATCTAAAACAAAAAAGCACTAAAATTTTTTATTCTAGCACAAAAAAGAGTTGCAAAATGCCAATTTGGCATCACAATAAAGGTCTTATTTTATTTTTTTTGTAGTGTAAGCTCTTGTTGATTTAACAATCTTGGGACCATTTTTCTATTGATATGATATTTTCTTTTCTTGATCTTGAGTTAGCTGCGAAAAAAGAATTTACTATTCCTTAAAAAAATAAGCCTAACATTGTCAAATCTATAAAAGCTTAATGGTTAATGAAAGGGAAAAAGGAATGATAACTAAAAGTTACTTCATCTATTAAATTTCAACTAATTTATTTCAATCAATGGGTGAGTGCGTGTCAATCTTGCCTACAAAAAAAAAAAAAAAATTGGAATCCCAAACCAAAATGGTGTCATTTCTCTTAATCCCCAACCTCTACTATTTTTGGCCCTTTCTACAATCATCTCCATCTCCATCACCTCTTTGCCTCCTCAACTCCTCCAATTCCTTCAATTTTTCAAACACAATCTCACGCCACCGACTTAATCCCTAACAACCACTATTTTCACCCCATTCTGCCACTGCAATTCATCATCTCCATCAACAAAAATTGGCTTAGTACTGTATAATGTAAATTGGCTTGTTTAATTGAAATTCTTTAACACCAGAAATCATCAATCAAGAGATCTGAATTCATAAGAGCAAGACAAATTTTGTAAAGCCACAATTATCTTTCATTTTTCAATAAGAAAAAAAAAAGTAAAAATAAATAGTTCTATCAATGGAACGTGAACCATCTTCTTCTTTTTTGTGAAGCAATATTAAATATTATCATCTTCGACAATCTTCTTAATATCATTATCTTCGATGAAAGATGGAGAGATCAAGCATTGATCTCCGTAACTTGATCAAATGTAGGTTTCCAATTGTTTACATCATCAAATTTTAACAATCTTTGATACTTTGACCACAAGATTTTCTCTAGCAATCACCTCCCGCTAGGTGGCCTTATAATCGTGGCTGTAATTTTGGGATTGTGTTAGAAAAATTGAAGGAATCAGAGAAGTCAAGGAGGCAATGGAGATAGAGATGCAGATGATTGCAAAAGGGGTGCTAAACAGTAAGGGTTAGGGTTTGAGAAAGTAATGTCGTTTTGGTTTGGAACTCCAATTTTCTTTTAGAGGCAGGACTGACACGCACTTTCCCATCCAATTGAAATATAAGAGAGCTAATTTCATTCAACCTAAAACTATAAGAGAGATTTACTGTATGAAAAGTATAATAGTATATTTCAAGAATCATTGAAAGTAGAAAAGTAAATAGAACTGTAAATAAATTGAGTCAAGTTCCTTAAAACTCAAACTCAAACTCGATGCTATAGTAACGAGTTGGTGAAGTTTAAGTTTTTATTGAGTTCAAATATACTAAATTCAAACTTGACTTGCAAGCTTAACTTGCAAGCTCAATTGATTATTTGAATTTAATTTAAAATTTCAATTAAACGTAAAAATAAAATTTTAAATATTTAATATAGATTGTTGGGCATAAGTTAGGTTTCTTGTACGAATGCATAAAATTAATCACCCTTGATGGATGTTCTATCAAGACTAGATTCCTAGAACAAATGTTGGCAGCTATTGGCATTGATGTCAATGACTACATTTGGCCAATTGCATGGATCATTGTCTAATTAAAAATATAAAAAGTTAGAAATTGTTTAAAAACCATTTAAAAGTTCAGTTAAGAATTGAGAAAAAGAAAACAAGAAAAAGAGAGAATGGTGCATAATATCATATATAAAGTACCTTAAAAAAAAAAAGGGGGTTACACTACTAGTAAATAGAGTATAAGCAGCAAATTTATAAATGATAAACTTATAATCGACAACCATTATTCTATCAAATATAGATCCATAATCAACAAATTATCTATCGATTATGTTTATTTGTTGATGATATCAGATTTCCCCATGCATAAATGATAGGTGATATAATCGACAAAATATTTGTCGATTATGGACCTATATTTGACAAAATAATGGCTATCGATTAAGTATAATCGACATGCATCACTCTATCAATTATATATTTGGTATAATCATCAAATTTTCTGTCGTTTATGTTGAGAAACGACACCTTTCCCATTTCTTCTTCTCGTTTTGTGGTTGATCTAGCTTCTCCTTCTCTAGTGGGATTTGGCATTGTTGACCTAAGTAACATAGCTCCATGCACACTGGTTTCTGAATCCCCTTGCCGATGACACTGATTTTGCCCGTCTCTATGTCCATATGGAGTTTTCTTCTTTTTTTTTTTCCCTTACAGATCTGTTCATTAACAATCGGCTTTCCAAATTTCTTATAGACATGTTCATTTCCCAGCCACAGCACCACGCCACCCAAAGGATTGACACGCCGCTACCTTGCTTGCAAATCCAGATGTTGTTCCATGGTTAGTCTTTTTTTTTTGGGGAGGGGGGGTTCCTTGTTGTTTCCTTTGATTTGGATGTACAAGAAGGCATTATTCTTATTTCTTGTAGATAATCCAGCCTTCACTGCCTTCAACGCACCATCTTTGCCACAGACCTGCTGCCTCCTCGCCGGTTGGAATTTGAGTTTCTTCACCAAAAATTTGGATAAATTTCCCTTGGTTTTGGACTTGACTTATAGAACTTATATTCTTTTGTTCTCTTTATAGATTAGTGATCCAAATTCATCCTCTACGTCATCGTCACCACTGGTAGAGGTAATTGGGATTATTGTGCTTTTTTTCTTTTGGTAAAATTATATTGTCTCATTTGTGTGGTAAATTGCTACTATTGAGTGAAATATTGAATTTTTAATGAATTAGAGCCATTTCTATATATATAGAGATATTTCTTTTAATTTTTTTGAGAGTGAGATATGTATAATAATTGAAGTATTATTTTTATTCAATATATATATATATATAAAGTTGGAGATTTTGGATTATTAAGTTTGATATTAAGATTGAGATTGATATTGTGATTTAGGTTGAGATGCGATGCATATGGTTATTGAATTAAAATGATATTGATATTGAATTTTTATATATAAAGTTAGTTATTTCAAATTATTGAGATTGGATTGAGATGTGTTGTAATATTAAATTAAAATGATATTTATATTAAAAATCTATATATAAAACTAATTGTTTTAAATTACTGAGATTGAGATTTGTATGTTTATTAAATTAGAGTAGTATTTATATTAAGTATATATAAATAAAGTTATTTATTTTAAATTAATAAACATAAGCCTTGCTTTACAATTTTTAGTGTCATATATCAAATAGAATCACTCACTCTACCAAGGTTTGAGGACCCTTAGTAAAGTGAGTGATTGTCTCACCCTAAATT